TTAAGGAGCATATATGTTGGTGTTTAAGGTGAATACAGGGGTAATTCGCCCAGGCTTACAGCGACTGAGGCGGATCCGCGCGGTGATGAAATGAAGACTTCAATCTATTGATGTCGGCCTTTCGCGTATGTTGACCGATGGGGCAGAGTTAAACAAACAAACATTTTTTTAGGTATCTCCAAATGGCCTTCCCGTTACCCAGCCCACACTTCTAAAGGGCGCATCATTTTACTCTAAAAAGGCTGCTTAATGTGCTTGGTTGTTTGCATACGTGGACTTTGTATGGAGTTGATTACTGAGAGTTGAGGTCTTCGTGTAGCACTAACATGTGTGCATAAAAGTCTTCTTCGGCATCACTTACAGCTAGGGAATCACAAGTCATGGCAAGACTTTGCCCAGTCATAAAATTGACTTGAGAGGATGCTTGCGCTTGGGTTTGGGTGGTGAGATGCTTTTCCTTTCTCCATCTTCCTTTGATTTCTCCTTGAGATTAAGACCCTCTTACTGCGTTTGACATTCGCATCACGAGATGAAAGTGTGGCGAAAATGCAAGTGGTTGGGGCTATGCTTTTCATTCTGAGGAACGTTTTATAAATGTGGCTTTGACTCTTAGGGAGGAAATTATTATCGTTGATGTGACTTCAGAGGATGCCTCGTCTTAAAAGTTCTGAATCCAAGTGGAATCATTTTGCCACAGCGCGCCAACAACCTTCATTGTTGAAGGGTGGGCTTATGTGAGTTTAGTGTTTGTTCGTCTGGTGCATGCTGATGTGACGGCGGGCTTTGTTTACGCCTTCTTATGTCAACCTCCTCTACGAGTCATGCATTGGTCATTAACAGATATTGTCGAGCTCAGAGTCCCAATTGGTACATGTATCGGGATTTTTTACCCTAGCCGTTCCTCTGTGTTAAGCGTGTTAGCTCGTTACTATGTCATATGAGATTTTTAGTAATCTTTTGCTGTGCTTTCGATATGTCTACTCACCATCCTCTTTCCTGACGTAATTAGTGCTTCAGCAAAAAACGAGATATATAGAACCTTTGAGGCTTCCGTCCATTTTTGTGGGTTGCATTCACTCCTCCCCCTTCTTCTGATTGCCTGTAAAAGAAACTAAAATAAGTCACCATTATCGCTCGTGGAAACACTCCCTTTACACTTCACCAAAATTACGTATAAAGTACTTCTCTGCGCCTTTAAAATGGTGTCGTTTGACGCTGTCAAGCCGTAAGTGATAGTTGTTACTTTAGCTACAAGGGTATTTTCTTCCCTTGCTGATGACGCCGGCAAATAAACAAGATGAAGTGGTGAGATTCTAATGCTGTTAGTCTTTTATTGCATAGGTTCCTTATCGTTTCATCTCTACTAACGTCGCACATTATCATGGTAGCTTAGTGGTTAATGTATTGGGCTGCTTTAAGGCTGTAGTCGTAGATAAAAAGCCATGGCGCTAGGAGTGGAACCAAAATCTTCCATCGTAAACACCTTGCGAAACTTGAAATATGGGTGAAAGGGATGTCATTTCATTGGAGGCGTTGAACAGTGGTGCAGATTCACACATCGGTCACATCTCCAGCCCTCATGCTGACGCCCCTGTCAGAGGTGCTGACATTGCCTTGTAAATACAGGGACCTACCACTTTTTAGGCTTTGGTTTGTTTGGTTGGGAAGGGGGGAGGGGAGAGCAGATCATATATTTTTATTTGAATTGTCGATGTTAGGATGACATGGTTTCCGATGCGAACTCCATGGCCAAATGACCTTGCCAAATGTAAAAACACTCAATAGCGGGATTCTATGCAAAAATCTAGCGTTCCCGTGGGATGCAACTTATCGTTATGCTCTTCGGCTTGTCCAGCCACTGTTTGTAACGTCTCACGTCTGCTTAATTTGTGACACGCGCAATTCGACTCAATTAGTTCTAAGCACAAATGGATAGTGGAGGTACTGCTACTCCTCTAAAACTGCAAAGCTACTTCCTATACGTGTATTGCGCTTGCACTGAGGCTAAAGGGTGCAAGAAGGTGGGAAAACTAACAGGTAGACTTGAATTGAATGCGGAAGCGGAGAAGGGATCTTTGAAATTTCGACTGCTTCCCACAACTGCTTGGATTTTGCAACGTCACTCCACATATATGTGAGCAGGAATGTAGCACAACATGGGAGTGCCTCATTTCCTGCATAATGACCACAGATATTGTTGATAATGCTGCCGTGCTTCCAGATTTCGGTTCCCTTTGCACTTATTTTTTCCCATTAAAGGCAATCCAATCCTTAAGTAATTTGTCCATGATTTTGTAGACGCGATCTGTAGGTGGTCAGAGGTGAGTCTGGAAAGTGGTCGTGCTAATGCACCCTTCAACACAAGTGCGGGTCTAGTCTGGCATGGAATTCTTGGAAAAGTTAGAAGACCTTAGTTAATGGCTTGAATTGATCCTGATCTGGGCCTATTTGTGGACTCGTGATTGATAGCTGCGATTAATTTCGCGTACTACTGCTACCACTCCGATTGTCACCTGATTAATTGGTATGATGGTAAGCTTACAAAGTCAACATGCGCACATTCACTCGGTCACGTACTTTTATCTTCTGGACTTTTTAACGCAATCTTCGCCGCTCTCCCCAGTCGGTCGTGCATGCACTAACATACGCTTTATCCATCCCTCCTTTCAGGGCTTCCACATTCCATGCTGGGCTGCGTGAAGAAGCCGTTGAAATAGATGGTGATTCTCTGACCTCACAGGCAAGTACATATCGTAGTTTAAAACGGGAGCACTTTTGTTTATACACGCTTCATTTTGCTGAATTATTTCCAGTTTACACGCATCTGATCTTACCAATTGGGACATTTATCAGCGATAAGTGCGTAGTCTGGATCAACACAGTTTGCAAAATCTCTATTTATGCTGGGGGGCAGCGTCAAAATGTCACGGTTGTTGTCGCATTAGCTGGAGGAAAACCGGAATTTCGCTGTTATTATCTGAATTGCATCCTACTTATATCCATCCTCACACCGTACCGAATCCAAATTCTGGCCTCAGAATGGTCTCATCGCAGTAATTTTCGAAAATCTCTGATAATACGGTGAGAACGCTCACTTATTCAAAAAGAGCTTTAGACCGTAGGACGCTGCTGGTGAATGTGTTGCCTCTGCACCTTTCGAATCTCCGATTCAGCGGCGTAAAGTTTGTGTTGCATAAATCAACCCACCTCTCCACCTCCAGCCCTTTGACCTGACATTTTCAGGCATATGTGCCATTTGCGCCTGCATTTTCCCTGTTGCTTTCTGCCTTGTTTACCACGCCTATTTAAATTCCTTAACATGGTGGTAGCTATTCACTGCTTGAGCTTTGTTATAGCGCCTACTCCGTAGGCAGTCCTGAATCCGAACGGTTGGCTTAAGTATCTGCTGTATTTGGCTTGCCAGTGTGCCATGGTTTGATCCGCTGTTTGGTTTTTTTAAAGGTTTGACAATGGATCATTAACATTGCCTGAAATTTTCCTGGCGTCCAAGTTAAAGGGGTCCATTTTGCTCCCCAGCAATGATTGAGATCACTGACTACTGCTATTGTTTGCATGCTCACCTTGCATGTGACCTTTAGTCACCATGGCATAGCGTTTTTTAATGGGTATTTTAGCTGACATCAACAAAATTTCTTGTTGATAATTTGTTCTGATTTGTCACATCGCACAGATGGTCTTATCCTGCTGACAGTGAGGTAGTGTTACCTTCTGTTTGTTCAGATAACTTACAACCGTTTTCTCAATCGTTTTAAATAATCTCAACTCTTCTCGATCGAGTGCGACTCGATTGCTTAAAGTAGTGTTTTATAGGTATAACTCCTTTTTATGTAGTTCCTTGCATGATTTTCCACGGTAGCAATTGCCACAAGACCAAAGCGAACGAGGAGGAGTTGCATCAGTCGTCGCATTTCGTTTTTCAGTCTCACTCTTTGCTGCCGTTGTTTTAATACACCTTAAATGCACTTTCTGCTTTCATTAACGTGCTGAATAATCCACTCCCATAATGCATGATGCTACTTAAATTTATTAAGCAGCTGAGTAATTGTGTGCGATGCTTGTCAATGCAGTCCTGTGAGGAGCTCGTCGTCTCCAAGTTTTTCCATTTTTCACTGATGCATTAACTGAGAGAGGCTAAATTCCACCCATCATTGCTGCTTTACTGCTTTTGGAGCAATTCTATTTCACAATTAAAACTTCAATGCAGATAGCACATTTTTGCGGAAGTTGAAGCTGTTACTCCACAACCTTGTCAATATTTTAATTGAAATTACAGAGTTGACAACTGATTGCCCACAGAGGGCGCCTTAGTGTCCTTTAAGTAGTGCGTACCGTCGTTTTTCTTGGTTTTATGTTGAAAGTACTGTAATTTTATGGCTAATAATAGGAACCAGTAAATTTTTTTGAAATTGCACAATCGTTGAACTATGCCTCATTTCAAAATAGAGTATCTTCGTCTCACTGGATCGTAAATAACCAATGTTTTGAGGTTGCTCTGGAGTCTACGTTGCTTTTCTCGGTGTTGCGCACAGATTGAAATTTGGAAACATCGATTCCGAAGTGTGAACGTACTTAAAGCACCTTAGAAAGTGGCCGATGTTTTTGAGTTAGATAGTATTAATCTACCCCTACCTAAAAGTACTGTCTGAAATCTACTCTTCAATCCCCTGTGGTCAAATCTTTTTGGAGCCAGGACTGCTTGAATTCCTAGGTTCCTGTTGGTAGTATTGACGGGCTTGTTTATGCGAAAAGTCGGCTTAACTCATCCTTGAAGCAGGTGATCCGGTTTTAATCTACCCTGTTCCACGGTTCTTTTCCGATTAACAATCACGTTTGTGTTATACGGCACGCGCGTGCGCGTAACCTAATGAGCCAATCAAAATCTCCTCCTAATGAATTACTCGCTGCTAATAGGTGCGTTAGTCAATCGCACCTCGGCATGGCGTCATCGCCACATTAGTACTGGCGGTCCGCTATCAGTCATGAAAGCAGGGGGGTTGTGCCACCAGCGCAGTCGATCGGAGGGAGGTGTGGTCGATCTGGTGGAGTATTCCTCGAACCCTAATGCAGATGGCGGTATGGATGGAGAAAATTTGTCTTCTCTCGGTGAGACCAACGTGCACCTTGGTAGCTACGATCTTACCCTCTCCACCGCTACCGCCGCCACAACACCGTCCGCCGATTTCGTATCCCACTTGCTCTCCGTTCTTTTTGCAGGAATGACTCCACCTGAACCTATGTTTGTAAAGGCTCTCATTAATAATCCACCCTTTGGTTTTTTCTCCCGTTTATCTAACGGTACCTCTACCGTCGTTGACCCAATGGCTCTTGGTCTCGCCTTTGAATACAACTTAAACCACCGCTCATCGCGTGGCATATCTTCCACCGTACGCTCTGGTCTTGAACGTCTCTTCTCACCAATGCGTAAAAAAACGCGTCGACGATTCCGACCCTCTACTGCTTCTCTGCCCGCTCAAATGATGGTGATGGCGGACTGTGCTACTCGGGACGAACACTGGTTGTCTATGGTGCAGCTAGCTGCGGAGTCTTCTGCTCAACCGTCTCATCCTCCTCCTTCTTCGCCGCCTCCCCCTCCTCCCACCTCTAATGTTAGAAGCATTGAGGGAACTGCATCGGAAGACTCTAGGACAGCGGGAGCAGAAGCAACAGTGGAGGAATTGGGGGCAGATGCATCATCTGTGCCTGCGGCCATGACAGCTGCTGTGGTGAAGGATGAAGTGCAAATTGGACGTTTGAGGAAGGAAGAACAACGATTGGAAGCGGACATACGAAACATTGAGTCATGCAAATCCGGTTTGTTTACCCTTATGAATGTTGGCGTGCTAGTTTTGTTTAATGCAATAGATGTTTTTCGACTTTAGGCTTAACCAAAAATACTGCGACGTTGCAACTCATTCCATGCATAGGAAGTTTTCTGAAAACGAGTGTTTACAGTTTCTTCCATTTTAGTCTCACTTTTGCGGTTTCCTGCCTAGAATGCGTTGCCAACCTAGATATCTGGGTTTGTTTAACTGGAGAGGAGTCTTAGCAAAGTCTTAGGTCAAGGAATTAGAAGACCCTTTCCATTTGTCTATATGGCCCTCACAACACAAGCTCTATTTCCTTGTCCTCTTGAAGGAAGGTTTCTATTGAAGAGAAGGCTCATCGCGATCATTTGACTTGTGGCTCACAATTCGCATGCCTTGCTTGTCCGTTGTTTTGTTTTGTCATTGCTAAGACATCAAATTGTTCAGAAACGTGTAGACAACAAATAAGAATGCTCCCCCCTGCTCTTGACTCCATTGGATGTGGCGTGTCGGCGCCAAGTGTTATGTGGCGTCTGCTTTGCTAAGCACACACATATGTATGTATGCATGTACGTA